GGCTATTTCCTAAGACAACGACCTCTTGAGTAACTTCCAAAGAGTGAAACATTGAAGGAAGAAAACCTACTATTAGTAACGGTAATTTGCAAATGCTATCTTGATATCTTATGACTCATATCCTTGAATTACTCAAACTTGATGTGTTAACTACACCCTTGAAACATCCCGCTTGATCAATCTTGAAAAGATTGAATTCCATTCTTTGTATCAAAATAAGAAAACCACGATTCTTCATTAAACAAAAAGATGTTTTATGATACCGATCTTTGAAAACTATACCTTGTGGAATACGTGACTCGATTACAATAGTAAAACTACCTTGACTTGAACATTATGCTGAACCTCTCTTTGTGGACCACAAAACAATCAATACAGTTATGTTATCTCTAAAGATCATTATCGATGATCTTATTGACCAAGCAAACTCCATTATAACCCTGACAAGGAAATGTGTATGCAACAACCAGAGAAGAAATGACGTCACAAAGAAAAGCTGAATCATTCAAGCGAAAATCCTGAACCTATATGCAATGTTGGTGTAAGAACTAGTAAACATCCCTCACTCTATGAATTCGTGAATTGAATCACATACCGAAGATATTTTTTTCTTCCCTCGAAACGAGATCAGCCATAGTGCTAATATCGAATATGTCGCTATCATATCTAGATATGTTTTCAAATTAATAGAAGAAGTTTGAATACGACAAGTCGTACATGAGACGCAACTCAAACGTCATCACCTATGAATACGAAGACTCATTAAATGATAGATGAGCGCTACCATGAAGTGAATGAAGAAATGTTTTGATGTAAATCGATGATAACAAGGTACTGTACAATCAATCGAAAGTACTTCCTTATAAATGATGACAAATCCTATATTCTGAACCGATGAAAGCCATTTAATGTTATTTACGAGTCATTGATGGACTATGTGAACGATGTGAAGATGTTTTGAAACAAACTCTAAATCTCGAACTATACCTATCGTGAAGGTGATGATTCGAAACTACAGAGGCTATTGAAGAACTTTCAATCAAAGAAGGAATGTTGTTGAGTAATGACGTACAATCGAGACTTGTGAATGAACGAAGTGATGTGCAAATATGTTAAATATGCTCCAAAATACGATGTTATACCTTACAAAGGAACCTAAGTTATGGAGGTTGAATTTGACCGGGAACCCGCAAAAGGATCATTGGAAACCTTGCTTAATCTAAGATTGTTAATCTCTTGAAGAAAGAACGAGTTTGATAAACATCGAGAATACGTATCCGTGTGGATAATGACATAATTATAGTTTAATTTGACGCGGTCATGATTGTCGTAAATACAACAAGATATCGACTGTGGAACCTCAAAAGAATTTTGAGGACGAAATTCCTTTTTAAGGAGGGAAGAAATGTAACGCCCCAAAATATACCCTAGAATTATTAATGAATAAATAATCAATTAATCAAATTTGTTTTTATTAAAATAAATTATTGTTGGGCTTTGGGCCGATAAGAAATTTGTTTTGACATCTTATATCAAAATCTGGATAAGTCTCATAGAGATAAATCCAATATGTGAACTATTTGTGTGGTCTTGATTGAGAACCTGAGTACAGACCCAAATCAAGAGTAAATAAAGAATTTGTTTAGAATGTAAATATTGAAATGATTTGTTGAAATAAATCATGAGAATAATTGATATGAATTAAATGAGAGAAC